ACGGAGAGAAAGTACAATAATTGTACAGCAATGTGTAAACTCTCCAATGTGCATGTTTTTTGCCCAAATCTAGAACGGTGTAATATTGCTAAACGAATATGTGACTTTCTACACTTGAAGAAACAAATAAACAGTTCTTCAGATTAAAGTGGTGTAGTCATGTCTTAGATAGTTTTTGTCTGCCCTCATCATAATCATGCATCAACAGACTGAGAGACTGTCTTCATTTGAGTTATTTGTCTCTAAATTGATCTGAAATGGGTCAGCTGATGTTGTGGAGCGAGTCTTTTACTCTGTGTCCTTTAGCTGTGCAGTTTAAGTGATTGTCAAACACTCATATATTGATCACTGCACACACTGTCAATAATAGTGAAATGTTTGTCCGCACAAAGAATGAAAACTTTCAAATCATACAATAGACAAGAAAGACTTTAGATTTTTGGCTTGACAAAGTCTAACTTAACTGGAAGATTTAAAGGTCATACAGTCTATCAGAAAGACATACAGATAGCAGTACAGATAGTTAAAATAATGCTTGAACACTCTTAGACTACCGTGTTTGCTATGCTGTAAAATCATTGTTAATAATTTGCTATAGAAATCTGGGTAATTGCTAATGTGCTAGCATTACTACCAATTTTAGAGTGCCTTAGAAGGAAAATGTAGATATACAGGGTGATTCACAAAGATTACCACAACTTTGAGAATCGAGAACTCTGCAAAGAAAAAAAGGGACGCTAAGCTTTTTGTCGTCGTTTTAAGGAAGCTCTGAAGTTTCACATTGATGAACTAAAAGAAGGAATAACTGCAGCTATCCAAACTGTTACCCCCGAGATGCTACAGAGAGTGTGGAACGAGTCTGAGTATCGGGTTGATGTCACTTGAGTGTCTGGAGGGGGTCATATTGAACATCTATCAACTTGTTTTCTACTGAAAAAAAACTTAAAGTACTCTTCACATTGATTAAATACCCAGTGTTCCATCGTGTTTCTTTGATTAAATACAGATTTTCAAATTGTGGTATTCTTTTTGAATCACCCTGTACATACAGTAGCTGAACAATAAGATTTCAGAACATGGAAATGTAATACTGTTAACCTGAAACACCATTGTTTCCTCATTCTCATGTAAATCTCATCATGAGTGTAAAATACCAGTTTAAAACAGGCCAATCGGAACCATACACCAACTCTGACAATACACATGGGGATCATTAATATGCATGACAGTGTATGATTGGCCACAACATTTTTGAGTGAGATAACAACAGAGATATATTTTCTTTATTTTTAAGTTTATCTAAGCTTGTATTAGACATACTCTGTATGTGGGACTTTTATTTTGATAACGAAAGAAACAGGGATACTAAAAAGTAGCTGTTTAGTGAGTGTTCGTAGCTCATCTGAACACATAATGCAGGACGCAGATTATAAATTCATCCAGAAGTGGGATAAGGTCTGTTTAATTGTATCTTTGTTAGTAATATATCGTCTATATTGTTAAATTTAACACAATCCTACAGTTGTATATGTCAGAGAATTCATTATATTGAACTTATCTATTGAAAGACATTCTATATATAAATATAAAAGGTATTTATATCTTATGTATAAAATGCTCAAACCAAAAAGACTTGAACACACCTGACGTACAGTATGACTTGCCAACTCATAAAAACAAACTGTCCAAGAGGACCTGAACAAACCATTATACTAGATGGAAAGCTTAAATAAATCTAAAAGGTTTCTTAGACTGAAGTTAGATTTTTTTGTCAGTTGGAGTTTGAAGAGTCAATGCAAGTATTTTATTATCAAATGTTCAGGAAAACTGTGTTTGTGGTTATGGGAGAAAACTAGAGGAAATTGAGGAGTCTGACCTGTATAAAGACCTGTTCTGTGTTTGATGGTTGAACTGTAAAAAATATTAGTTTATTTTACTTAAAATAAGTGAGCAAACCTGTTCCTTTTAAAATTAAGTAAATGAACTATGTGCATATATATAAAAAATAAGTTGGATCAACTTAAGTCACAAGTCACAACAGTTTTACTTTTAATTGATATAAAGTCAATGCTTTTAACGCAACAGGTTAACTCACTTTTTTAAAGTCAAGTAAATAATCACTTTTTACAGGGCGGCTAAGAAATAGCTAAGAAGTTAGACAAAGAAAATCTAGTTTCCTTAGTAGTAGCTCAAACAAAATGATACTATTTTTGCTTTTCTCAAGCCAACATGATAAAATAGTAGTTTTGATGGGTTTAATAATCATTCTCATTTCGAAACAAAAAAAATCAATTAATAGAAACCATCATAGAATTAATGCTACGTTACGAGTTAGTTATTAGTTAGTTAATGCTTTTAATAGAAATGATATTGGTTTTATTAGATACTTAAATGATTTTAATGATAAACTTACCTGTTTTCATTCTATTGGTGGCATGTTAAAATTAATAAATCCTAATTGAATAAATTCCAAAAAACACACAAAACCATTAAAACATACTTGATTTGATGGTTCAAATTTGATGGATTGTAATGTTTTTAATGGTATTTGAGTGGTAACCTGATCAAATCATTCTTGTTGTGAACAGGGGTAACAAGATCACATCCTTCAGCCTTAACTATGTTCATCCTCATGTTCATTTTTTCTGTTTTGGAATCAAATCACAACTAATATGTTTATAAAATCATATACTACTAACATAATTCCTTAAGCTATGAACTTTCAAATGCATAATGCTGAGTTAAATTCAATGATTAATAGTCCAAAGTTCTTGTAAAGGTTTTGAATTTATTGTAGGCAAAAATCTGAAAATCAATTTTTTTTACTATTAAATGTCAAAGTTGTGATTCTCAAGTCACTGCAGAAGTTCCCATTTGTGTGACCTTTGAAAGCTGATGATCGGTGTTTTCTGAAGGTTACAGCAGCAGGCTGCTTTAAATACGACAGCTTTCAGTGAAAGCCCCAGCCATGTTTTATTTGATATGAATTATAGAAACATTAAAACTATAAGTTGTTACATTAAAGAAGACAAATAGTCAAAATCCAGGCCTGTTTTCATTTCTCTTTCAGCGTGGTTCCTGAATTTGAACGCTTTTGAGTGAGTAAATCATTTAATTAATAGGAAAATAAATAAAGAAACTGCATGACATCATTGTAAGTCCTAAAAACAATAACATTTCAAGGCCCCGAATATTTCAATGCTTAGTAGTATTTTTAAAGCAATATCTAATAGTAATGTTTGTAAAATACAAAATGTGTGTGTTTAAATATGTATTTTGGCACAATTATTCACACAAGAAGTGTTTGGTGTGTGTCTGTATATTGCCACTGGTTACTTTCCCTCCACAGCATGTCAAAGGTTATAATTTGCATGATTATAAATCAGTTTCATGTTTTGTCCTCCCGCTTGATGCTATGAAGCGTCACTTTGTTCAATTTCATATTTGAAAATGAAATATGATGTGGTCGTTTCCTGACATGACTATTAATACAGCTACTCTGAAATGAATCTTATGAGGAATGACGGATGGATAAATGACTCCGGGAAGAGAGACGGAACTTGAATTATAATCGCTGCACAACAAAATCTTGCACAATTTACCTCCATTTACTCAAATATTCAAGTGTATCTATCTGCGGACTCCAAGAGAGTGGCGTAACAAGAATGGGGTGCTACGTGTAGTAAGTTAGAGACGTAACTTGCAGTTACCGAGACCCCATTGAACAATGCAATATGTCACAATGAGATGTTGTTGGCAAGATGGATGAAATATTTACAAGAGAACATTTTCAGCAAACGCTTTCATGAGTTTTCTCCAAATTTATCCACAAGCTATACATTTGATATACTATTATATTCATTCATTTAGCAACTCCACTCAGACTTCTTTATCTGTTTTGTCATGACAGTAAGCCTACTCTGCATCGCCCCCTGTGGCTGCAAATAACAGAACAATGGTGAGCGTGTCAAGTATGAGACTCCTGGCTGTACGTTAATAAATGTGATTGGTTTAGGGTTGAGGAAGGTGTAGATGTTATTAACTGTGATGGTTGGGTTAAGGGTTGGGGTAGGTAGACGTTAATAAATATGATGGTTGGGTTTACGTTTGCAGAAGGTGTAGATGTTAATAAATGTAATGTCTGGGTTTAGGCTTGGCGAAAGTGTAGATGTTATTAACTGTGATGGTTGGTTTAAGGTTGGGGTAGGTGTAGACATTAAAAACGATGATTGTTGGGTTTACGTTTGGGGAAGGTGTAGATGTTAATAAACTGTGATGTTTGGGTTTAGGCTTGGGGAAGGTGTGGACGTGCATAACTGTGATGGTTGGGTTAAGGTTGGGGTAGGTGTAGACATTAATAACGATGATGGTTGGGTTTACGTTTGGGGAAGGTGTAGATGTTAATAAAAAGTAATGTTTGGGTTTAGGGTAGGGGAAGGTGTGGACGTTCATAACTGTGATGGTTGGGTAAAGTTTGGGGTAGATGTAGACATTAATAACTATGATGGTTGGGTTTACGTTTGGGGAAGGTGTGGACGTTCATAACTGTGATGGTTGGGTAAAGGTTGGGGTAGGTGTAGACGTTAATAACGATGATAGTTGGGTTTACGTTTGGGGAAGGAGTATGTTAATAAATGTGATGGTTGCGTTTAGGTTTGGGAAAGGTGTAGACGTTAATAAATATGATGACTGGGTTTACGTTTGGGGAAGGTGTATATGTAAAAAAAAAATGTGATGGTCGGCTTTAAGGTTGGGTGAGGTGTAGCCATTAATAACTGATGGGTAAAGCACTATCTTGCTGACAATAGAGCTGTGGCGTGGGTTCCCATAACTTCAAGTTACAGTATGCAGACAGACCCTACTCTAAATATTGAGCTTTTTTTTTTTAAATTCATTCCGCATGCCACAGGATTTTTGAAAATACTTTTAAAAACATGTTTTAATACAATGCCACATCACTTTAAAAAGATGCTGCGGTTTGTTTGTTTTTGTTTGTTTAGAACGATGGATCCTCTCCAATTCAGCACATTCGCGCTCACATCTCGGCAAAGACAAAGAAATGCTGCCAGCAAGCAGAAACCCAAACTCATCATAACTGAAGAGCTTGGATCTCGCCTTCTTCATTAGGACTTCAAATGCATTTTTGTTTTTGTAAGCCACATGGACTGTGACGGTTGGGTTAAGGGTTGGAGTTGGTAGACGTTAATAAATATGATGGTTGGGTTTATGTTTGCAGAAGCTAAACATAAGATTAAAGCTACTCTACAGAACTTTAACTATGGCAAATTACCCAGAGCTACAGAAAGCCACGCTCTGAGCTTCTTTTGACACAAATATTGCCATTGCTATTAATTCAGCTTAATATAGATCATTCAGATCATCATACATGATTTCCATCTATGACTGGAAGAAACTAATCTCTTTTTTGTGTATAGAGAATGTGAATTTTAAGTAAAACCTTTTTATTTTAAGAGCTGTAAAAAGTCTGTTTGGTTTACTGGAGAAAATGCTCAAATGACTAAATATTATTTAAAAGCATGATACTTTTCTATTTGATATTGTTTTTTACATAACACATGCCTTTCTGCCACCATATGAAAAATGAACTGCGGTTTCCTGCACTTTATTTCAAATTAATATTATTTCCATAAATTATTGTTAGCCACAATCAAGTTCTCAGGGTATGTTTACACAGCAATATTTGGAAAAAAAGAGAAAACTTTTTTTTTTATTTTGCATTTAATATTGTATTAAACGATAAAGAATTCTAAAATATAAGTTTGTAAAATTGTGAAATTCTTTTTTTGGTCTAAAGCAATGTGTATTGTCATCTGCTGTCATTGCATACAAAAGACAGTATTTTAGTTGTTTTGTGTGATGGGCAACCTATAGAAAACACTGTCATCAATAGTATAAGCAAAGCTTTTAAAAATGCAGAAAAAAACCGTTTTGAGCTTTAATACTGTGTAAACGTACTCTTCCATGAGATATCTTGGTGTCAAATGATATTCAAACATATATGAAATCTTTATCACATTTTACATGAGATACTCATGATACCATATTTAATATTGTAGGTCTCATTCATTGCAATCACTGCACTTGTTCATGTCAAACACAAAAGAAATGTATTTTTGGGAAAATGCCAGTTCTTTTAGTCATCAAATTACGTTAAAAATAAAACTAAAAAAACTAATCTACTACTGAAAAACTAAAAGAGAAGTTTGTAAACTCTTCAATGTCTTTTGTATTGCACAGAACAAAAGTTGAACACATCAAGTCTAATATTTAACTAAACTTTTATTTAACTCATAAACCACACTGTTCCAGTTACTATGACCATTTATGTGAAGCTGCTTTGACACAATCTACATTGTAAAAGCACTATACAAATAAAACTGAATTGAATTGAATTGAATATTAGGGCCATTCTTTTGCCATTTCACCAAACTTTCAATTGAACTATCAGTAGCATTCATTCAAGGATAAATCCTCATTACCCAAAATATGTCATCAGCAAGCCTTACATTATTTTTTAGCAATGTTTTTGCAGATATTAAGATTTCAGGATGTATTGAGAAGGGCTTATTCATTCTTTTATCTCTTAAAAATATTTAAACCTTGCTTCTATGGCGTATAAACCGAGCGTATAAATTTAATGCCTTTCAATAAGGTATCACCTGTGTTCACTTACTAGCACAGACCATATCAACTATTAGCATACGATTTCACGACGTCCCGACTAAAGAGATAGTGTGTGTGTGTGTGTGTGTGTGCGTGTGTGTGTGTGTGTGTGTGTGCGTGTGTGTGTGTGTATGTGTATGTGTGTTTCTTTCGGTTTATCACGACGGGCTGCTGGGTACAATACGTGACGTCAGAAGCACTTTAAGTACACTTTTAGTACAAAACCCTTAGAAATTAAGTTTTACCTCAAGATCCTTTTGGAGGATTGATCGTCATCTTGATAATCCAACAAACGTGTCCACTATGTGAGGATGGGTAGGTGCGGGTGATTTTCTTTCTCTCTTTTTTTTATGGTTTTCATGACAAGACCGCCATTACAATACACAATGAACAGCGTCTCTTACTAGCCTTTTTTCCGCTCTTGTCAGTATTGGTGAGTTTTGCCTTCTCGATGACATCACGGCAAGCGATAAATAAAAAATGTCTTATTTGTAAATAATGTAAATATTACCTCTGTACTGGGAATTTTGGAAAAATGTCCTGCATTTACTGTGCACTTTTTTAGTTGTATTTTCTTTCCATTTTATTTTCTGCACTTGTACTGTTTGTCTCATATCAAACAATGTGCACAAAACGTATATGTTGACACAAATAAAGCAACCAGTTGTTTAAATGTGAGTGTTACCTGTGCATTTGTCTTATTTATACTCTTAGCAGTATATTTTTACAATGTAAAGGCCCCTACTCTTATGGCACATTTCAGATGTCCCCAATTTAAAAACAGTCAATGGGTTTAAAACAGTTAATAATAACAACATTACAGATAATTCAGACAACTACCGTGTATTGGAGATGCAGTCATTTTGCTCTCTGATGTTTAGAAACAAGTTGTGACCATTTCTATATGGCAGACTGCTTAGGTTTAAGCTATGAAAAGCAAGCTGCCAACTTACAGTTTTTCTTGATTGTTTTGAGGCAGTTGTCTACTGAAACTTTACATTTTAAAAATGGTTAACACACAGGCCTAAATAGCGGCCCTCATTATCAAAATGACACATTTTGCTTGCATAAAGCACATACAGTGTCAAAACATTTAAAATATGCAACAAAAGCTAGTTTTACCTTCAAACAACACAACTTGCAAACAAGTATATGATCCTTTTAATTAATCATTACACAATAGACAACAAAATGCAAAATACAGAACTCAGTGTGAATCAGTGCACCATTGTTTGCCATTGTATTGCCAATGCCATTTGATGTCTTTCTATTTGAGTTGTCAAATCTGCCTTTTTGCAAAGAATTGGATCTAGAATAAGAAATGGTTTGATAAAATTTATATTGAATTCATGACATTATTTTAAACTGTGGCTGAAAACTGAAATACTGTAAAAAAAAGAAAAAAAAGAAAAGAAAACAGACAAAAGAAATAAAATACTGTAAATATTAGAGAAAACACATATAAACCAATATACAGTCAAATCTATTGGGAGTATAGGACATAGTCGCTATTGACCTTCTCCATCAATGTTGGCACAAAACAACACAGACCTTCCATCGTTTTTAATGTTTGCAGACTGATTGCTAATTGAAGATTTGTGTGAAGGAGTGTTAAACCGGTGCTTCAGTGAATTCATACGGATCTTGGTGTTTTCTAATAGTTAGGAATAGATGGTTTCTGTTTGGTTACCATAGCTAAAACAATGGAGTTTGGCCTGCTTGAATGACATCCGTGTTAACTATTTTGAAAAATGGTGGGGAAAAAGTGTCAACCCAATGAGAGGGTTTGCACATTTGCAAGACCCGTCTTCTGCTCTGCTGGGATAGTGATAATGACAATGAAGTGGAACCTAGTTTCTTTAACCAGGTCAAAGCAAACATGAAAAACTGTAAAAACTCATCATAATAATCTGCATTGGTTTAAAATAAAACAAAAGAGAATCAGCAAACAGAATATTTTTATTTTTCTCACTAAGTTTGTGACACTTTGAAGAACAGACCAACACTTACTCTCGCTTAACATGATACTGCAATTCAAAACCATCGTGAGGGAAAAATCAGTGAATCTGCCACTCTGAATCAGAAAAAAACACTCATGATGTGGCACAATCCTGTGCTGCGTTTCTTTGGCAGAAAACACATTTTTCCTTTACCACCTGAGTCTCCATTTGATCCTCCAGTAGTTTAAAATTGTTGAATTAAATACAAAAATAGTACAGACTGTTGTCTAGTTCGATCTAAGATGGACGATTACGTAGAATAAACGCCTTCGCGGGCAAACAAACAGAACATATCGAGAATAAAGTATCAAGATTTATGCTTGCTCAGACGTACAGAAGTGTTCAGGTATCCATCCGTACTGTACACTGTTCTCAGTCGCATCATTCTTGTTCACATTCGATGTTGTTTCCTCAAACACTTGTGAAAAAAGTCACAAAATTGTATGTCCGTTTTGGTTATTGTCCAACGGCTATTGAAGTTCAGCAAGACAGTCTTTTAAGCATTGCAGTTTTTTCTGTTCTTCAGAGTTCAAGGAAATATAAAACATGTTGGCTAATAAATAATACTGTTTATATATGATTAACACCCTGATCATAATACAACCCGGCTTTAATCCTCAAAATATAGCCTAGTGGGCATGAACAGCATCATTTGAATGAGGTGATTGCAGGTAAAGTGGACACTTTCTGCTTATTCTTTTAATTAAATGCCTATTAATGTCATATGAATCAGGATTATTTAAATTTTAAAGCATTCCTCTTTGCAAGTAGTCACCCTAAATACATTACTTAATACAAGTCAAACCATGAAACCTCCATTATGTTTTCAATTATATATTTAATTTTGATTATTATTTTCTACTCGTCTACATCGAAACTTCAATACTTTAAAATGGTTTCATCTTAATGATTCAAAAGATTTCATGGATTTAGCTGCAAATGTCAAACTCATGAATATGGAAATAGCTAAAAATATCAAAATCAAGTGCAAGTTGAATTTACAAATCAAAACACTAATATAATAACTAAATAAATAACATAAAATATTTAAAACACTAAGATCATTCCAGTGTGATTACTTTAATAAAATCATGAAGTGGTTTCAGAATGCCATGTCACCAACACAATGCTACTCTCGGCAGGTGACAAACACAAGGCAGCTGTGTGTTGTGAACTTCACTGTAGTCATAAAAACATTAAACTGCCTTCTCCATTTTAAAACGACTGCTTTTCTACACGAATAACACTGCATTGATATTTCACAGTAAAAATCAGTTTGGTTTTGTTACATTTAGCTAAGATGGCGTTGTTCGATTTATGGATGCATTTAACGTTTTTCAACACTTTCCAAAAATACAGTATCTGATGTTGTAAACAGTCACAGTCAGTTTCCAGTCGGTCCATAAAAACTAAGCGGGTCCGTCCAAACACTCTCCCATGTATAATATATGCTTGGTTTTAGTTTCTTTGTGTTGTGTTTGTTTTCGTTATTTCCATATGTTTTTTGTTTTTTTTCTTCAAAAGAGCCGCTCTGTGTTTGCTGACAATAAGAGGCACTGTCTTTGAGGGGATTTAAACTGCAAAACTGTTTCCAAAGAGATTCAAACCCTGTTCTTACTTTGATCTCCTCAATCAAAAAAAAAAAGAAAAAGAAGAAGAAACAAACAAAAAGAAATAAGGGTCTGTCACTGTTGGCAGTAGTTGGACGATTCACTCCTTTTCCCCATCTTCACTGCTCCCTTTAAGATATAGAAACAAAGAACTTTACAGCAGATGTATTTTTAACAAAAGGTATGTTTACATGACAACAATGTACGAAAAACTTACTAAACGTTTTTCATTTGTGTTTGTAAAACCAAAACAATGTGTTAATATTGCTAAAACAATCCATGTTCATGGAAATTGTAAATAAAATGTATTTTACATTCCAGGCCAGTAGTTGGTGCTGTCACTTTGTAAAGAAACAGTGCACATATGTAACCCACCGGTCCTACCGCATTCAACCCAGTCTGAGATGGGACTGAACTGGCGATTCTTTGAATGGAAGTCGGTTGCTCTAACAAGGAGGCTAAAGACCATGGCCTTTAACATCTGTCGCTAGAGCACCTTTTGAGTTCAGAGGAGTGAGGTTTACCTCATAGTACTTTGGTAGCTGGCCTCTGTTACACTCACCCCCCTAAACCTTACTCGCATCACGGACGAGCCCCTACGTGTAACCAACCGGTCCTACTGCACCCAACCCGGTCTGAGCTGGGATTGAACAGGTGATTCTTTGAATAGAAGTTGGTTAGTCGAACAGGAGGCTAAAGACCATGGCCTCTAGCGTCTGTCGCTAGAGGACCTTTTGAGTTCAGACTTCGCTAGCTGGCCTCTGTTACACATACACAGCATGTTCCATTCGGAAGGGCTCATCCCTGTGCCGTAATCACTTTAAAACGATTACCTTGCCAAATGACAGTACAGGGATGAGCTTTCTGAATGGAACATGCAGTTCGACATTAAACAACTTCCTTGTGAAAAAGATTATGTAGTGTCCATGAGTTCTACCCTTCGAAGTACTTGATTTATTTTTCCTACTATGGAAGCTAATGGATTTCAGCTTTCTCTAAAATATTTTCATTGATTCATTCATTTATTCATTTTCCTTCAACTTAGTTCCTGATTTATCAGAAGCCGCTATAGCGGAATGAACCACTAAACTATGCCGTCATATGTTTTACGCAGCTGATGTCCTTCCAGCTGCAACCCAGTAATGGGAAACACCCATACACTCTTGCATTTTCACACACTCATACACTACGGCCAATCGTGTTTACCCATCTCACTTATAACACATGTCTTTAGACTGTGGGGGAAACCGGCGCACCTGGAGGAAACCCATGCCAACACAGGGAGAACATGCAAACTCCACACACTAATGCCAACTGGCCCAGCCAGGACTCGAACTAACGACCTTCTTGCTGTGAGACAACAGTGCTAAACACTGAGCCACCATGCCACCCCTAAAAATATCTTGTTTTGTTTTAAAAAGAATAAAGGAACTCATAATGGTTTGTAAACCCTTGAGATTGAGTAAATAGTGAGTAAATGTTATTTATTTTTTGAGTGAACTACCCCTGTAAGTACACCTAGTGTTGACCCCTAATTTGTCCAAATGATCTAATTGTTTTCTCATTAATTGTAAGAACACTGCTTGAAAGCTGTGCCTTCTCACCTCCTGCAGAATCCATATCTGAATCTGAGACATGAGTGATAGAGAAACGGGATACGCTGGATGGAGAAACGGTAAAACGGGAGACCTGTGCCACAGGTTTAGGGCTAATGGACGCTAGGTTTGGCTTTTCAGTGTGGTCAGGAGGGGACCCCTTGGAAGATGTGGGAAGGGGCAACAATGGGAAATCATCTTCCCATTCAAATCCTGCACCTGAGATTATGGAGAAAGCAGGTTGTTAAATACTTGGTCTGATAGATACTTGGATGAAAATGACCAAATAAGAAAGAGACTCTTACTCTCTTCTGAGATGTTTCCATCCGACGAGTCATCGGAGGCATTGACCTTATCCTGTTGGTGCTGCGCTTTACCCTTTGCACTAGGTTTGCTTGATTCTCCACCCAAGGGAAAACTGTGATCTGCCAACTCTCTGGTTGGACTTTCCTGGAGGGTATGACACGCAGTTTATTGATTACACTTACTGTAAACAAAACAATTCAATTTTTCATTGAAAATAATTTTAAATATCTAATAAATACCTGGTCAAACAAATATACTGTGACATCATCGAAGAAGGACACAACCTTCTTTTTGCCCTCCGTTTCCTCAGAAAGCAAAGATGTTGGCATCTTAAGAAGGCTTCTGAGCTTGTGCGCATCACTGCAGTCACTTATAATGATGGGCACTGTCAAGACCTCGTCCTCGCTTTCTTCACTCTGCTCTTGGATGCTGTATGTGCGCAGCTCCTCATCAGACTCATCGCTGTCCTCAGAGTCGCCATCTTCCTCATCTGCCTCCTCACCATCTGTGGGAGAAACCCGCCCTTCTAGAGGAGGGGGAGGAGAGCCAGATCGTGCGGAGATTCTTTTCCGTCCTTCTCCTTCACAGTCCTTACTCTTGGATTTTAGCTCCTCATGTGTAGGAGAGTCATTCTTTTCTGCTTTTTCCTTTTGAGACTGTAGTTCCTCTTCGGACAAAATGGCACAGCTGACATCTTTGACTATGTCCTCTTCGTTCTCATCAGTAAGTACCTCTGGATTGGGCTTGTTTACAAGATCGCCTTCAAAAGTAACTTGGTCATGAGACAGACTATCTTCACTTTCTACTTGTTTGAAAGATTCCTCTTGCTTTCCATCAGTACCAAGTTCTTCAGATGCTAAAAGTTCTGCAGAGAGATCTGAAACAACACCAATATTTTCATTATCTTCAAAACTACTTTTTATGGTAGAAACGTCTTTAAGAGGTGAGAGAGACACGCTACAGATTGTGCCACACACAGACAAACTTTCATCTGTCATTGATGGAAGGTTTGAGATTGAATGATCAGACAGTTCAGGGATTTTTTCACTCTTCTTTGTAGATGGCATAAGATATTCATCTACATCTGTCTCCTTTTGTGGAGGAAGTTGTTCCTCTTTATATATAATTTCCCCTGGTCTGTCTTTCTGATCTTCAAGTTCATTGATGTCCTCTTCGCTTTCTTTATCTTTGCCAGCATCATAATCAGAAAAGTAGGCAGAATCTCTGTATGGTGTTTTATCACTCAGTGCTTTCAGCTCTCCATCACTGCTCTCAGATGCTGTCAAGGCCACTGCAGTATAAAAATCACCCTCAAGCTTCTCACATTCTGTTGTTGTAATCTCTTGGTCTTCACTGACAAAACTTGTCCCAGATGTTACCTTTCCCAAAGGTTGAATGAAAGTCTTGGAATCTTGTACCTCATGAGGTTCCTTTAAGACAAACTCTGGAGATTCATTGTTTTCTGTGTCATAGCCACTATCCACAGTCTTAGGAGAGCTTGATGGATGGATGGAAGCCGGACTGAGAGTCTCACTGGAACATGCAGTAGACGGTATGTCAATAGAGTCCATGGAGTCTGGAGTACCAACTTGTTTTTGTAATGACTTGAATGCTGGACTGGGGTAGTCAACAGTTTCCACTTCAATTGCAAAATCACCAAAAATGCCTGAGGTTACGTCAGTGATGTCATCATCACTGCAGTCATCTATCTCAACCAGGCTGATACTAGAGTGTCCACGGTCCATACCACTGTCTGCAGTCTTACTCAGCTCAGACTCTGGTTCTGGTTTGGATAATTCTGCTGGGGATTTTTCCAACTGTGGGTATATGGCGATAATTTCAGTTTTTGGATCTGCTGTAGATATATCTTGATGCAACGTTTTTTCTTGTTTTAAGTTTGTTTCTCCTACTGCAGTATCCACAAATTGCTCCGAGATGTCAAACTGTTTGGCTCCTTCCCTTGATGCTTCTATTTTGGAGATTATATGTCCAGCAGATAAAGGTAGATGTTGGTCTCTGTTGGGCAAGGTCATGGTTTTCCCTGGAATACAGTCAATCATGAAGCAGTTCCTCACAAGTGTTCCTGTTAAAGGGTCTACAAAATGTGAACTGCTCAAAGCTTGACAACATGGCACAGGGTATACTTCAGCCTCTCTAGGTTCGTGGCACATATGGATGTATGAGTTGCACTCAGGTGAAGGGTTTGAAGGTACATGTCTTCCATGTACCAAGCAAGTATTGCTTTTAATCGGTGCCTCCAAGTAGTCAACAGGTTTGGTCATATGGTATGACAGGGTCTGCTGCTCTGGCCATGTATCCTCAATATCAGTCATTGGCATAGTGTAGTGGAAGTCTGCATAGGAATCCTGGATACAAGACCCCTGCCTCTGACGCAAGGTCCTTGGGTTTGTATTTGGTGGATTGCTGGCAGACCAGCTTCTTCCTCGCCTCTCCACAAAGATGTCTTCCTCTTCATCAGACTCGCTGTCATCTCGACCTACAAATACAGCACCACCTGATGCTATGTCAGTACAAACAGAGTGGCCACCTGGCATAGTCTTTCTCAAAGAGCCCATCATATCATAGTATCCACCCGTTACATTCTTTCCTATAATGGAGCCTTGAATGCTCTCCAAATAAGGATCAGCATAGCCTTGTGGAGGACTTCCAAGTGATGGTGAGATGCCTAAAGGGTCCTCCAGTTCCCCAAGTGCTTGTCTCAGACTTCGAGAGCCCCAGCTTTCTTGTAGAGTTTCTGTTGAGTCTCGTATCATATAGCGGCCCATAACCTTAGGAGGTGATGGTTCAAAGTAATAACCTCCATCCCTGTCTTTGTATGAGACATAGTGGCCTGATTCCCATGCTCTAAGGGGGCTACCGTGGCCCAAAAGAGGCTCCATAGTTAAAGACATAGCAGGGCTGGAGTCAGAATCATAAGCACCACTTTTGTGAACTTCAGCTGACCAGTAAATGTCTGGTTTAGCCTCAGGGGGACAGTTCATACACTCACCAGAGTCTCCACTACCGGTTAAAAAGCTTCCATTACTGCCACCAAACTCTGGGCTGTAAGCACACATGGTAAAGTTCATATCAATATTGCTTTGTACTGGCTCCTCAATGCGAATATAGTACTCGTTACTCACTGATGGACTATGAGCACTCAGCACAGGCACCACACCAGGGGTGTGTAATTGTTTGGGCTCATAATATGAAGGAGAAACCCCTAGGGCAAGTCCATCAACAGCACATCCCCCCACTATTCCTCCTGGAGGATAGTAGACCTCCTGACAATGAGGATTGCCTTGACCCAAAGTGCCTGTTGTGGATGAGGAATGATAGTGCTGCTCAGCACGTGCCTGCTCCCATTTGTACTCAAAGTTGAGGCCATGACTAGTTTCAGTAACCGTTAAGATGTCATCTCCAGACTCTGAATGGTAGCCATCTCCACTGGGAAACTGCTCCAGCAGGGGGAACGACGAAGTGGTGGATGACATTGGCATATCAATTGCGAGTGCTCCGGCTCCATGAATATTAGCTTGGCTTGTGTTTGGTCTCATGGAGTTCCAGCGTCTCTCAAAGTCTTCCTCTGCCTCACTGGCTCCTTTGGCACATAAGTAACTAAGCAAAAGATGAACTTCTTCTGCATTGGGCCTTTGGTCAGGCTGAAGCCAACAAAACTGCATTACTTCATACCTGATGACAAAAACACATACACTTTTAGTGCAAATGCGACAAAAATATACTGTAAATAAAAAGTGAATTATTGTTTCTTTTTTGATCTGTCTGTTTTGCACTGTAAATCCTCCATTATATAAAAGAAATTTGAAGTATTTGAATTTACAGCAAAATGTAATGAATAAGATCCAAATATGGAAAAAGTGCAATATTTAATGTGTTTAAGGGCACGGACTTTACAAAAGAGAGGGGTGAAGATTGAAAAGCTCTACTGAAGCAAAAAGTCAAGGCTCTAACTCTAAGTAATGGTAAATGGATTGTGTAAGAAGAGCTATATAAAGTTTATTAGACACCCACCAGCGGTCAGCAAGTGGGTACTTAAGAATAGGCTTGGACAGCTTCAATTGCTGATCCTTCACAGCATAACTGAGAACCTGTCGGTCTGAATAATGGCGGTACGGCTGATTCCCTAACTCAAACAGCTCCCAGATGGTTACACCAAGTGACCTTAAAAACAGAGAAGAACATAGAACTCTGGAAAATAACAGCAATTAATGCATTTATATTCAACAATAAAAATGATTTATTCTTCCTAAACTGCCTAAATACGCTAAATATACTGACCAGATGTTGCTTTCCTTGGTTTGGTCCACTACCAGCAAATTGCCATGAACCTCATCCACCAGTTCAGGGGCAATCCAGCGTAAAGGTACCCAGGTCTGGTCTGATGTCACAAAGTAGTCATCCTGGAAAAAAAAAAAAAAAACATGAAGAGAGGGGGCTATGGTTAATGTTAATAAAATATACAAACTATGAAAGTATCTATGAAACTATGAAAATCTGAAAGTCATGCTTACATGTTAGTATTATTCGTATAATGGACTTTGTTATTGATAAAGTAATAAAAAAGTATAGATTAAAGTGTACATGCCTTGTACTTGTTGTGTGATAGTCCATAGTCTCCGATCTTAACTTTTATGTCTGATGTTAGCAGGCAGTTTCTTAAAGCCAGATCCCTGCAGAAAATCAGAGCCATATGAAATAATTAACCAATAAATGAAAAGTACCTTCTACAAATAGAACATGGTCTAAAATACATTATGTATGGAAGATAGCTTAAACTTAACTGGATGTTATTAATTTGGAATACTGCAAAATATACGTTCACTGGCCACTTTATTAGGTACACCTTACTAGTACCAGGTTGGACCCCCTTTTGCCTTCAGAACTGCTTTAATCCTTCGTGGCATAGATTCAACAAGGTACTGTAAATATTCCTCTGAGATTTTGGTCCATATTGACATGATAGCATCATGCGGTTAAGCAGATTTGTCGGCTGCACATCCATGATGCCAATCTTCCATTTCACCACATCCCAGAGGATGGGATTTAAGAAATATTTAAGAAACTAGTCTAAAATGATTCATGCTTAATGACATGGGGCGTTATCCTGCTGGAAGTAGCCATCAGAAGATGGGTACACTGTGGTCATAAAGGGATGGACCTGGTCAGCAACTATACTCAGGTAGACTGTTGCATTCACACAATGCTACTAATGAGCCTAAAGTGTGCCAATAAAATATTCCCCACACCATTACACCAGCCTGAATCAGTAATACAAGGCAGGATGGATCCATGTTTTCATGTTGTTGACGTAAAATTCTGACCCTACCATCTGAATGTCGCAGCAGGAATTGAGACTCATCAGACCAGGCAACGTTTTTTCAATCTTCTATTGACCATAACGAACTGCAGCCTCAGTTTCCTGTTCTTAGCTGACAGGAGTGGCACCCGGTGTGGTCTTCTGCTGCTGTAGCCCATCTGCCTCAAGGTTTGACATGTTGTGCGTTCAGAGATGCTCTTCTGCATACCTCAGTTGTAACAAGTGGTTATTTGAGTTACTGTTGCTTTTTATCAGCTGGATTTAACAAGCGTGCCACATTTAAAGTCACTTAAATCAGCTTTCTTTCTTTCCGTTGCTCGATTTGAACAGCAGATCGTCTTGACTATGTCTACATGCCTAAATGTATTAAGTTGCTGCCGTTAACAAGCAGTTGGACAGCTGTACCTAATAAAGTGGCCAGTAAGTGTACATGGGTACAAAAATGCAGTATGAATTGAATAATATTTTATGAACTGTGATTTTTACTTTTCAAAATGAATTCCCTTGTCTTCATGAACCCGTTCAAAGTACTGTATCTTGGCAAGGACATGTTGAAGTAGCTGGAAGATGTGTGGTGACCTCCGGCAACAAAATCACTGATGCTGGAGTGGAAGAAAAACACTCAGGCAGCATCAGGAGATTGTTGCAGGGAGAAACCTTGAGACAGAAAATCGGCAATGCACATATTCACAATCATAAGCTTCATACTTATCATTTCAATCTGATTGCAGGCTTCCAGTATTGTTTTCGAGAATGATAATAAAGACTGTGGTTATTTATCCTAGAATTCAAACATGTTTTACATTAAAACCGAATGATTAAGTATGAAAGTGATGACTGACCTATGGGTGAAGTTGTTTTTGTGAAGGTGCAGCAGGCCTGAAGTGATTTCGCATGCCATCCTCTGAAGCAGTAAAGGGTCAGGGATCAAGGAATCGGCAGTCCGGCAGCTGCACAGGTAACCTTTAACATCACCCTGTCAACACAGAAAACAGAAAGCACATGCTGAAATGCAAAGGATGCTATAAATTCTAATCAACATGCATAGACATCAAAAGACTGTGCTGTCAGTCTGATTTGCTTCAGATTGCCACTGGGGGGAGATATTTAGCAAGACATTATGAGGGCAGCAGCTTTTTGATGTTGTTGCTAAGGGTGTTCTGTTAAAAAATATACTGCAGCACATGTGATCTGGGTAGACAATAACATGAGACGAATGATCTAACAAGAAGCCTAAAATGTGACCTATATATGGTAACATGAAAACTACATATATGACATATTTGACTATCACCTATATCAAATTTCATACAGTATATGCAGCATACTATATTTCAAAATATTGCAAAAATGTCAGCTTACATATATATCAAAATTAAATCAACCATTGGAATTACAAATATGTAAATATATGTTCAATCATAGAGTCATATATATACGGTTGAAGTCAGAAATATTAGACCCCCTGAATTATTTTTTCAACACATTTCTAAACATAAGACTTTTAATAACTATATATATAATAGTCCTGCTCACACTCATTCATATACTGTAATAGCAAAAGTTGTAAAAAATTCTCTCTCTCTCTCTCTTCTCTATATACACACACACACACACACACACACACACACACACACACACACACACACACACACACACACACACACACACAATATATGAGTGACATGTTCTGAGTAAAAGCAACCCAAAATGTAATGTATTATTCAACTAAATCCTAACCTTGACCATCTTCTCAGTGCGGGAGTTCACAGAGACTGTCCAAGAAAAACAACCCAAGTTGTGGGAAATCAAGATAAATAGAAATGCTAAACATACTATCTTCTCTGATATTTAAATAGCTGTTTATTGCTAAAGTAAGCTCATCTGTCAAATAAAATTCTTAGTTCAATGTGGATTTTCAATCTAGTTAAGAAAATTCACAAATACCCCTTTTCTAGACACGTTTCATGTTTTATTGATGTGTACTTTTCAAAACCTTGCACTTGAATGTTTTTTCAGGGTGAGCAGTAGGGAACTTTCTCGCCAATAAGAGTTACATGAACATGCAGTCATGCACAAAGATTTCTGTTCAATTATTCATTCAATTTCAACAAACTCTATCTTATAACACTTGGAACTTATACCACATTGGATGGGACCATTCTTTGGTATTTTTGCATCTTATTAAAAAGCCTAATGTTGTTTGATATTACGGTGGCTCAGTGGTTAGCACTGTCGCCTCACAGCAAAAAGGTCACCGGTTCGATTCCCAGCTGAGCCTGTAGGCATTTTAACTGTGAAAAAGTGAATTGAGTACAAAAAAAAAGTGTGCGTGTGTGAATGCAGAAGCGTATGGGTGTTTCTCAGAACTGGGTTGCAGCTGGAAGGGCATCCGCTGCATAAAACATAAGTCGAAACAGTTGGCGGTTCATTCCGCTGTGACAATGAATATATGAATGTTTGATTTTACAGCATATAATTATAAACAAGCGTAAGCAGGATATTTAAAAAAATCTTCTTTTGTGGAACTGAATTGAATTGGTTTCAAAAATTGACATACAGCATTAGCCCATCACTAGACAGAGTAAACGAATTTTCAGCTTTGAGAGAGCTGTCTTTAAGGATTAGAGGTTTTAGAAGGGAAAAACACACAAGGGGATAAAACATAAAATAAAGTGAAAAACAGAGCTATTAGACTAACCAGTGGGCAGAACTCCATGACCACCAAGTAGGGTGTGACCTCTGTGCACTGAGCGAGGCATTGCACTAGAGCTGGATGCTGGAGAGATCTGCAGAAAGAGTTTTAGAACATACATCACATTCATATGCTACATTTCATTTAAAGAGATTGTTGAGCAATAAATTAAATTCCTGTCAGCACTTACTCTCACTCTCATGTTGCTCCAAACCTAAATTACCCATTTTTTTCAATTATTATTTACTTTAATCTATGCGTTTTTATTTTAGTTTTTAATTAAATTCACTTTTAGTATTTTCTCAAGACAATGAGAGTCAGCAATTGTTTTTAAAGCCCTTTGACTTTAATTGTGTGGAACATTCAATAAAAAAAACAACATATGATAACACACATATGGTCTTTTAGTCAAACTGGTGTTTTGGTTGTCAAGTTCTCATGCATGCCAATAGACTGAACATGTAACGCACACACAAAGTCACTCTTTTTCCCCCATAAAAATCCCATTTTTGTTGTTTACACACACTTAATGATAAGTGTAAAGTTTATGTACACACCTCAAAACAGATGTGTACATAAATAGTCAATGTGCATGAAACATTTTTAGTTTTTAGTTTAAAACTTGTCATGTAAATGCCCTCTAAATGATCACAGACTGTGCAGTTTTGAGTGATCCGTCCATTTAATCTCCTACAAAGGGCTAATTTCAAAGTCTGCATGACCTGGAAGTTACTGAGACTTTTATATCAGTATGTTGATGTACTTCCAACTGAAACGGAATATTGAGCAGGGCTTTCTTTTGCACATCAATCCCTCATATCAAACTAATGGTACACTGAAAAGAAAAGATTCATTGGATTTACTTTTAAGGTAAGTGGCTGCAAACAATTTATATTGGCTGAATTTAAACAAAGTAATTTAATTTAGATAAATTTAATTTAAACATTACTAAAGTTCATTTGTTTAAATCCTTGGAAAAAACTTTCAGCCCATACAAATAGTTTGCTATGACTTACCTTAAATCCAATGAATGATTTGTTTTAGTGTAAGGGTATTAATAAGCAGTTGCTAGGGAAGCCCTCAAATTTATGTCAACAGATGGACCACCACTCCAAACACAGAAGCAAATGGTCAGATTAAAGATTATCAAAACAAATAAATATTTTTAGCGAGTTAACTTGCACAGAATAATTATTCACCTTAAGAATAACAATGTGAGCTTGCAAAATAAACATTTTAAATATTGACTTTAGCAGTTTGTCCTATCATTTCAATAACCACACCTTTTTAGCTTGTTTCTTTCTTGCTAAACAAACTAAATGGGGTATATGCACACAGTTTAGTCATTTTCAGCCAAAGCGCCATTACAAAATAACCACGTTTAAGAACTGATTTCTTTAGTGATTTTCACTGCCTGATTGATATATGAAATAAACTGGGTCATGGAGGACTATTAAATTCCACTTTTCTGCATCATGTCTTTACAATATTCAAATGTTCACTACCTGACAAAAGTCTTGTCACCAATCCAAGTTTTAGGAACAACAAATAATAATTTGACCTTTAGTTGATCATTTGGTATCAGAATTGGCTTATATAAAAGTCCTCTAGATTACGCTAATTTTACCGAAATAAAAAAATATCATGCCTTGATATTTAAGGATTTAATTAGGACAGTAAGGTCTGACTTCGCTTAGACGAAAATCTTGTCACTTGCATCCATACAGCTCAGCAATGACTCAAATCACTTCTGAATAAAGTCATCTGGAATGGCAATGTAAGCGTTCTTGCAGGACTCCTAGAGTTACGATTCTTTGGATTCATCTTCAATGCCTCCTCCTTCATCTTACCCCAGACATGCTCAATAATGTTCATTCTGCGGACTGGGCTGGCCAATCCTGGAGCACCTTGACCTTCTTTGCTTTCAGGAACTTTGATGTGGAGGCTGAAGTATGAGAAGGAGCGCTATCCTGCTGAAGAATCTCTCCTGTAGCTTGTAATATAATGGGCAGCACAAATGTTTTGACCTCAGTTTGTTGATCTTGTCATCCACTCTGCAGATCTCTCACACACCCCCATACACCCCCAACCTCAAACCATTACTTTTCCTTCACCAAACTTGATTGATTTCTGTGAGAATTTTGTCTCCATGCGGGTTCCAATAGGTCTTCTGCAGTATTTGTAATGATTGGGATGCAGTTCTACATGATGATTCATCAGAAAATCTACCTTCTGCCACTTTTCCAAATGATCAACTAGAAGTCAAGTTATTATTTGTTGCTCTTACAGCTGGGATCAACGACAAGACTTTTCAAGTAGTGTATTTTACCTTAGTATATTAAATGGAGCTTCTGCGCTAGCCTGCTGCTATACTGATGGTGCTTGCGTTTACACAGCCTTTCATCTCATTTCACACTCGAACAACTAAATGAATGCTTCAGTCTATTTAACTGATTGTATTTTTAATACACTGCAACATCGATGCTGAAAAAGAAACTTTATGACATTGAAAATAGTCACATAAACTTTTCACCAGATGTTTATCGTTGGCTGAAAACACCAGCTGTGCATATACCCCATTAATATAGAAATAAAATGGAGGATTACCGATAAGGCCGTGCCTCCTCCAGGAAATGCATCTGGTCCTGCACACTGGCACTGGCCTTCAGTTCCTTCACCACCACCTGGGTACTGCTAAGACCAGAGTGAACCTCCCCCAACAACACCTGTGGACGGCACCCGCCGACACACATATACACAAAACACACACAGACACACAGGGGAAAGACAACACAAACACACAAACAGGTGTGAACAGAGGGAAAATGGACAACACACACAAACACAATTATGGACAGAGTGACACAGACAGACAGATAGACACAAATAAATACAGACAAGAAGAAAATGGACACACGGGAAGAAAGAAAGGAAATGGAAGACAGATATTCCACACAAATAAGGATCAAAAGAAGTCCAGGAATCATGCTCAAATGGAAACGCAGACAGACCAAACAACACAAAACCAGATGGGACATTGGTAAACATGCAGCCACAGAGACACACATACAGATGGACATACCCATTCAATGGGAAGTTGGGGTAATTGGGGAAGTGTGTGTGTTTATGTATGTGTGTTACAAAAGACAAAGAAGTAGAGAGAAAGAAAGAGAGAATGAGAATGAAAGAGGCTCAGTTATTCCTGTGAAATTTTAAACTGCTTCACTGCTACATAGAAATAACATCAAATTCTCTGAGGGAACAGTCAAGACACCGGCCCAACATCAAAGCACAGACGAGGAGCTGGTAATGTAGCATGGACGATATTTTCACATCCTCGGGACTAAACTATAGAGCTAAACCTTTGATCCGCTGCAGTACAGTACATGCTTAGAGCATTGATGTCTGCGAGGCGCACATATAAAACAAATGAAACAACAAACTGACTAGATTTACCTTGCCAAACCAGCCATTTCCAATCTCCTTAATGTAGAGCAAACTCTGGCGGCCAAGATCGGTGGATCTCAGGAGCTGGACTGAAAGACCATTATCAGCAAGAAAAGACAGAGACAGAACAAGACAGTAATTAGTTAATGGGCCAAACAGAAGATCTGCCACTCAGAGTCTAGAACATTTAGATAGAAAACATAAATAAAGAACAGAACATACTATAAATGAAGGAATTAATTCGATTTTTAGGTACAGTACAAGATGGTCTTTGATTCATTCTCAAACTTTGAGACAATTCTGCTGTCATCAAGACTTTACTGGATGTAAAAAAAAAAATAAAAATAATTGAAAACTGTCATTATTGACTTCCAATCCAAATTAAAACTCTGCCATTTCTTAATCCTATATATATTGAGCTCAATGCAGCCTCTAAGTGCCATCTGAAATTATTATTTTCGTAGCCTCCTATATTTATGTTCAGTTATTTCACTATTTTTAGGGGTGACACGGTAGTTAGCATTGTCGCCTCACAGCAAGAAGGTCACTGGTTTGAGTCCCAGCAGGGCCAGTTGGCATTTCTGTGTGGAGTTTGCATGTTCTCCCCATGTTCGTGTGGGTTTTCTCTGGGTGCTCCGATTTCCCCCACAGTCCAAAGACATGCGGTACAGGTGAATCGAATAGACTAAATTGTCCATAGTGTATGAGTGTGTGAATGAGTGTGTATGGGGGTTTCCCAAAACTGGGTTGCAAATAAAAGATGTGATGCTGGATAAGTAGGCAGTCCATTCCGCTGTGGTGACTCCTGATGAATAAAGGGACTAAGTCGAAGAAACATTTATGAATATTTCACTTTAAAGGCAATGAAACAGCCTATTCATCACTATAAACGTGAAATTACTGACACAGGAGCCTGAGAAAAATTATAAAATTTTAGCAGACGATTTACTTAAATACAAGATACATAATATAAATAGATGATTTATGACATATTGCCTGGATTTAATATATGAGATTGAAATTAATTTATAATCATATCAAATCAATGTGTATTAAAAAAGCAGCACAAAGCCAACACACAAAGAACATTTGTAAATAGTATACTGCCTTTGTTATTGTTAAGTAAAACTAATAAATAATATTGAAATTAAGATATATAATATATATTTAAATGTAAGAAGAATATCTTAAAAACAAAAGTAATTTTTTTAATTAGCTTAACAATACTTAAAGATTGATTACAGTAATTCCTTGATAATTCACGGTTCACTTTTCATGGCCTCGCAATTTCGTGGATTTTTTTCCTGCAATTTGACATGTTTTTTTTTTTCTCCAGCGCACTGTTCTGTGTTCTGTGTCTTGATTAGCGCATTGTGTTCTGCTTCCTGACTGGCTGTAGACCATTGTCAATCAATTTTCTCCGTGACAAGTCTCCTGTACAGTGTGTAATGCGTTCAGCTATTTTCATCTTCGAGCACTAGCAGTGTGACTCTGAAGTGCTGGACTGTAAGTTTGCAAGTTTTCTCCCTACAATGCAAATGAAACGTTCTGCACTGTCAAAGGCAACTCCAATAGCACCCAAAGGACAGAGGAAGATGCTAACCATTGCACGAAACGTTGAACTTCTGGACATGCTAAAGGAAAGTAGAAGTTTTGCAGCTGTAGGGCACCATTACAGAATAAATAAATGAAGATCGAATGGTTTTGATTTTTGGTTGCATTCTATAATACTGGACTTAGTTTTCTACTAAAGTTTGAACTTTGAGAGAATTTAAAAAGAGAGAAAAATGTAAATGTTAATGTCTGTCTGAGAAAAGTGTATAAAGTGTGTACAACATCTATAACAATTGTAAAAAATAAAGCAAGCTACTTGGCAGATTTTGCCTATTGCGGGTTATTTTTTAGAACGTAACTCCCTGGAATAACAAGTGACCAATAAAAGACTAAAATCACTACTGATAAACACTATAATACCATCAAAAAGTGATGATTGATGATGGTTCAACCTACGTATTTAAAATAAGCTGAAACAACAAAATTCCTCAACTTTTTTTGGTGGGACAACTTAATTGTTTTATGTTCAATCCACTTTAATTAGTAAAAAAAAAATCATAAGCTAACATAAATCCGTTATGTTGTCCCAGCACAAATCAGAAAGCCAGCATTTTTGCATATTTTACACACAGGAGCCTGAGAAAAATTATAATTTTAGAAGGCGATTTGCTTACATACAAGATTTTTTTTTTTTAAGATTTTGCATCTGAACATTGATTTTCATTTTGTTTGTAAGCTTTCTCACAATTCTGACTTTACATTTCTCAAGTAAAACTGCATTTTTAAAGTTAAAATAAACAGAATTCTGAAAATTCACTGTACAAATGCAGATTTTTTTAGTTTACATGTCACAGTTTAGATTATAAATCCTCTGAATTGAAACTAAATATGTTTTCTACCATGGGAGATAAAGTCAAAATTGTGATATAAAAAGTCATATTTACCTTTTTTTTTAACTCTGGCAGAAATGGAATTCCATAAAGCGCAAAAAAGCAGAATTGTGCTCAAAATGTTTGGATTTCTTTGGTTAGATCCATTGCAAAGTCAAAAAGCAAAAAAACACAAACAAATAAAAATATAAATCAATCAAAAAGTACAACAAAGCAAAATCAAAACAACATTAGCTTAACTGTTACAACATCACACACCCTTAGTGCACAATTGAGCTTAACAAAAATAGCATCAAGATTTTCCTCCGACAAGAAAATCATCCTCCAAATATTCTCTCCAAAAGGCAGTGAGTGATCTCCTCTGCAAGAGTGATGTAAAATGGTACAAAGTAAAACTCAAGAGTCTGTCTAAAGTGTTCAAAATCTCCCTGTGATCTATCAAACCGCTTGAAAGGCATTTTTTCTTTCTCAGAGAAGACAGGGAATGGATCAGTCTGCTGCAGTAGGGACCGATTTTGAAGAGTGATTTTCTGTTTCGCTCAACCTCTCGTCTGTCAGATCCCTGCATATCTCTATCATCTTAAAAAGCCGTAACAGTGCCTTTCTCTCTTTCTCTCATCTTATCGTGCCCACAAACAGACAGTTTATTGTAAGAGTGCATGACATACTGTCTTGCTCCCTGTCCTCTTTTTTTTTATGCAGCAGCCATATTTTACGCCCATGTGGTGCTGTAGAGGCTGTTCATTCTGTCTGCCCCCTTTTAGAGAGCCTTCGCTGGGGAGAAATGGAGAATTGGGCTCTTTGTCATGTCGGCGGTGCTGCTTGGTACCACTGAGAGGATGGAAACACTAAAGCTATTATTCTTGAGGTTTCCAGCATGAGATATGGGAAAGCAAATGGCTGGTAAGCGAATCAGAAATGTTTGATGTGGGTACGGATAGGAAAAAACAAATCAGAATAATTATTACATCACGATAGAGTTGCAAACCGCTGTATATGATATATGACATATTGCCAGTATTAACTGTAATATACGTACACTGGCCACTTTATTAGGTACGCTTTACTAGTACCTGCCAGGTTGAACCCACTTTTGCCTTTAGAACTGCTTTAATCATTCGTAGCATAGATTCAGCAAGGTACTGGAAATATTCCTCTGAGATTTTGGTCCATATTGACATGATAGCATCACACAGTTGCTGCAGATATGTGGGTTGCATATTCATGATGCAAATTCCCCCTTCCATCACATACCAAAGGTCCTCTATTGGATTTGAGTACAGTGAACTCATTGTCATGGTCAAGAAACCTGAGATGATTCGTGCTTTATGACATGGCGCACTATCCTGCTAGAAGTAGCCATCAGAAGATGGGTACACTGTGGTACGGGGATGGACATGGTCAGCAACAATACTCAGGTAGGCTGTGGCGTTGACATGATGCTCAATTGGTACTAATGGGTCCAAAGTGTGCCAAAAAAATATCCCCCACACCATTACACCACCACCAGCAGCTTGAACAGTTGATACAAGGCAGGATGGGTCCATGCTTTCTTGTTATTGATGCCAAATTCTGACTCTACCATCCAAATGCTGCAGCAGAAATCAAGACTCATCAGACCAGGCAATGTCTTTCCAAATGTCTATTGTCCAATTTTGGTGAGCCTGTGTGAGTTGTAACCTCAGTTTCCTGTTCTTAGCTGATAGGTGAGGCACCGTAACCCATCTGGCTCAAGGTTGGACATGTTGTGTGTTCAGAGATGCTCTTCTGCATACCTCAGTTGTAACGAGGAGTTATTTGAGTTACTGTTGCATTTCTATCAGCTTGAATCAGTCTGGCTATTCTCCTCTGACCTCTGGCACCAACAAGACGTTTGCGCCCACAGAACTAACGCTCAATGGATATTTTCTTTTTTTCAGACCATTCTCTGTAAATCCTAGAGATGGTTGTGTGTGAAAATCCCAGTAGATCAGCAGTTTCTGAAATACTCAGACCAGCCCATCTGTCACCAACAAATATGCCATGTTTAAAGTCATTTAAATCACCTCTTTTCCATTCGGTTTGAACAGCAGCAGATCGTCTTGATCATCTCCACATGCCTAAATGCATTGAGTTGCTGACATGTAATCGCCTGATTAGAAATGTGCGTTAATGAGCAGTTGGACAGGTGTACCTAATAAAGTGGCCGGTGAGTGTGTATGAGGGTGTATATGAGTGTGTATGATAACATAATAAAACAGCACAGAAGTCAAACCCAAGGAACATTTATATACTGTCTTCGTTATTGTTAAGTAAAACTAATAAAAATATCGAAATTAAGATAATAGAAGCAAATCTTAAAAACAAAAAAAGTTATATTTTTGAGATAGCTCAACAACACTAAAAGTTAAGACAATTTATTTTCAGATGAATGAAAACTTAATCTAGAAATAGTGTTAAATTAAAAGACAAATTAAAATTACCACCAATAAACACTATAACAGTGAATATAATCAAAATCATAGAATATCAAGGATGCCCAATCTGTATGTTTTGGAGTATGGCAGCTGGTTTCTGGATGGTTTATATATTGCGGATATTCGTTGATCCTAGCTGGTAGACCTTCCTGGATTAGCAGCCAACCAGCTGTCAGATTGTCATGCTAG